TAACAATGTCATATAATGCAACCTAGACATTCAATCGTGACACCACATCTGTACTGCTTCATGTAAATGGAAATTTCAGGAGAAATTCATCTCCACTATTGGTGATCAAAAATATTGCAGCACTAAGTTTACAGTGTCAGTGGGAATGGTACAACAAACGGTAGATTAACAATAATTGAGCTAAATGGATTCAGTTTTCATGATCAACACAACCCATGTGTATAATATTACCATACACTTAATTAATACACTAAGTGAAACAGCGAGGAGAATTAAACGAGTTATTGCCTTCTCCACTGCACTGCATCTGCAACAATCATAAGAACCACCTACATTTGTTAGCCCAGCAGACAGCTAAGCAGAAAATGACGCAATATTAATAGAGGTATCTCTTATACATTGAATCCATATAACCCATATTGCACTACGCCAATCAGTGTAAATGTTTTATCACGGAACTCGGCACAGAAAAGCAGCAGTTCGATATGTAACATTCCACACCTGAAAAATATTATATTTAGTTGGTAATAAGCAAAACATATTTCATCAGATGTGTTTCGACTTAGCATCTAGGCTATGGGATAAAATAAACTAACTCATGAGATATAACGAGACAGAGTGTAAGAGTTATCTCGCGTAAGAGGAGAAATTATTGCAAGATAACTCTTTTTTCAATTAGACAAGAACGATTATCATTTGTTGACATTTCGGTGATTATTATCCACTTTTTAACATTTCGTTATACCTAAACTATATGTCATTCTGACCGACTTTCAACATAGGAGCTTTCACACAAGTACACCTGTTCAAGTTGCCACATGCCATGTAGCACACAAAGGTAGAGAAAAAGGAAATTAAATGGAGCTCTATTGAGCAAAAATGTGAGTGTGAACGGATAGGGATAATAACAAAATATAAGGCTTGATTAGTTATGTGAGACCACACAAAGTGAATGCATCTGTGTCATTGACAGTGACTTGGAGTCACATCCCTACCTAACAATATGCGTTTAACCCCATTATTACTCACCATATTATGCTACATAACACAGGGGATAGAGCACAAACACCTACGATCAAACACTAGTAGTCCTTTCATGTCTTCCAGCTTCATTGGTGACTTCTCACAACCTAGTTGTACAATGTCATGAGCACCCTCTAAGATGACGAGACTCTCCACTGATAAGTTCCTAAAGTCAATGACAGAGAATTCTATTTATATGTGTATGGTGAAATTAAACTAAAACAAGGACGATAGTCGTACAAATTAGCCTTGTATTACATCCTTCTAGGAAATATAAATCCCCTGATAGTTTATTTTCAGTACCAAGTGAATAGAATGCAATCTGTAGAATTCATGAAATTCACGAAGTGACGTACTGCTTCTTCAAAAAACCCAGGAAATTTTTCCTCAGTAAGGTGAGAAATGGGCATTGCGGTTGTGTAAAATTAATAGATTGTGAACTGCTGCAAATGAAATTGGCAACAATTCCTAGAATTACGAGTTATGATTTCAGCCCGGTTGCAACACGCACCAACTGTTAAATGACCACTTGACGAGCATAAAGTCTTTTCAGGAAATGCATAAGATTTAGTAAAACACGTGCACTTTTGATTTCAATCTGAAAGCTTCTTGCTAAATGTATTACTGTAAAAGCCTACATAGTTCAAAAATTAACTCAACACTGAAGTGGAAAAACTTCTATTTGTCCTTACTGAACTTAATATAAAGTCTCGTCAAGTAATACCCGTGTTATTAACTTTCTTACGCAGACTAGAGGGCAAGGCATCCTTAGTCTCTTGATTCATGTGGGATAGCAATGCAACTCGAAACGCAGTAGTATTTATACGAATAATCTGAGAAATTAAGTCTTCCCTACCTTCTGAACAACTTTTCCCTATTCCAACTAAGATAATAAGTTCCGTACACGTATGAGACTAAGTTATGTCTGTGAAATAGGAATATTGTAGCAATTAAATCTTCCCTCGAAATAAAGGCCACTTGAAGCACAAGTTCACAACAATGCTACATGTTATACCCATATTGCTAAGGCTTTTTGTCTTAAAATGAAAACCAGACTGTAATGAGTACATGAAAACTGAAATTAGTGTTGAAATTGTATTATGGTAACCAACTACCACCATACCAATTAAGACAACAGCGTCCCAATAAATTGGCCGAATATACCACTATAATTCCATGAAAATTCAAAACTGTACGTTGAAATTTTGAATTTCACACCGTATTTAATCCAACACATTGCGTAGATGCCAGTTTAAAGCGACATTTCCTGACACAAGTGCAGCAAATTTAACGCAGTTGAAGTACATTATGCCGCCGACATTACGTACGTCAGAAAAGTTTTTAATGCAAAATTTCATTTAAAAAGCATGTAAAAAACATAACTTGTTACTAAACCAACATAGCAATGGACATTAACGCTACAATTAGCGGGGAGATGCAATAAATAATATAATAATAATCACTTTATTCCACAACAATAACAATCTACAGCATGGAATTTTCAGCGTTTCTTTTACATATTGCAATGGTTTAACTCTGTTTATAATTATATAGATGTAGAAAATGTTAAAATATTGATAGTTAATAGGAAAAAATAAAAACCCCAACAAAATCACACCATTGCTAGGTCATAGTGAATAATAAATAAAGCCACTCGTCATCTTGTATACGAATTCCTCGTGCCCCTCAAAAGCGGATCTACTAGTGTCGGTGGTAGTGGGTGGCATCATTAACCAGATCAAAAGGATGTGAGGGACTTTCCAGTTAAAGATAGAGCAGCCTCGAAACATTAAAGGTTTATGGTTTGTGATAATGAACGTTATTTGCTTCCCGAGTGCATTCATTCTCATTCTGACGGAAATAAGTACACGCATCTTTATCACATCATTTCCACTCAGCAGTTATGTTTTCTTCTTTCTTTCCACACAGACTATGTAGTAGACGTCATGCCAACCTGGTGATCTTTTATTTTCTTGATTCCAAAAAGGCATGACAAAACGGTTCGGGTCAGTCAGTACACTGTGCATAAAATGCAGATATGCATAGGTAGTTTAGAGGCAAACTAAATCACTTATAACATCTGAATGGTCATAGAAAACCGTGCTATAGAGGCCCAACAGTAGCATGGAGAAGTTTCAAATAAATATCAAGTAACCACAATCAATCCCTTTCAGTTTTATCATTTTCCAAATTTGTCTACATGAATCTAATCGTCTTTGCTTCTCAGATGTCCGAAAACTTGTCTAGAATTCATGCCGACGACCTCTGTGGCCGTTTATTTCACATAGGCCTGATATCATGGCGACGCAAATGAAAGAGCTCCTAAACTGATCCTTCAGCCAGATAAATAGACTGTGCACACTAAAACTTAACTAGTAAGTTTAAAACGGTGTGTTTAAATAGTCGGAAAAATAACAGGCTACAGAAGTCCAATTTAACTCAATGCAGACACTTTCCCTCTATTTCAAGTAGACGGTATTCCGTTATTCCAATGACTTGTAAGGGAGTTACCGATAAATGTGATAGCGTTACGATATCTGAGAGTAAAAATCCAGGGTGATGAAACGATAGCGTAATAGGATATTATAAAAAATACATTTGGTGAGTTATAGAAATTAATGGTTACTTGGTTATTCAGTTAAAGCTCCCTGCTACAAATTATTAATATAATCCACAGAAGCATGCACTGCTGCAGTTGTGTCTACTAGTAGAAGCTGTGCGCCAGCTGTGGAATAGTCTTCAGATGCGGATGAGAGTTTCCTGAAGAATCCAAAGGATACAACACGGTTAGTTGTGAAGTAAGTAGACAGTGGACCAGTGAGAAGACAAAGCAACAAGCAGCACGATATATTTTAATTGTATTACGAAGTTATATATTTTGCAATGAGTCGTTTTAAGCAAAAGTTATGCACAGTGTTTTCATCAGTAACATCTAACAAAAAACTGCACAACCAACTGTCCCAGACTCCACAAACTCAAGTGAGAAGAGCGTAACGAAATTTCCTGAATATGACATTCAACCTACCAAGTTTCCACCAGAAACATCTAAAAAAATTCAAAGAGAAATTGAGATGATATACGCTGTGGGTCACTTTTTCACATTATGCTTTCTTTAGGATGGGTTTTGTCAGTTACAAACTCTACGCAAGTAGCTCTCCAACATGTTGTTATATTCAGTTACCTGTCACCCTTGGTAATTCCGTCTGTCAGGGGACCACACCACCAGCACTAAACTAAGATACAAAAGTTCTCGAGACCAAAAGGATTTTAAATAAAAGATGCACCAATTCGAGTCGATTCCAATTAAAAGTGGTGTCAGTGTACGTATGGTGGTCATGTTGAAGTCTCCCATAATAATTTCCGGTAAGAAAATGCATGGCACATAACACTTCTTCTGAGAGGACGACAAAAAATCCCAACGACCAACTGATTATAGGTTGCCGACAAGCTCATTATGTGATATATGGGTCGACAATTCAGGTCATCGGACTTAGGTTTATCACAGACCACAAATTCAACACTTATCTACAAATACGTACTCTTCCTTTGTTATAAATGAGCGACAAATAATATTGGTTTTCTGAGGTATTGACAGTATCTGTGGAATATAAAATACCATTCCTATAAGATTTACGATAAAATTTTAACATGGTTATGGATCACATTGGTTTCTTACAGTAAGACGGTGTTTTGTTTAGGTTCGTTGCTGCCGGACCTCAAAGCCCGGTAAATTTGACTGCATAGCCTTGTTTGTGACAAAAGTTGGTTACGCGTTTTCTGGGACACTATCTTTGTTTTTATATCATATTTGATGTATAGACTTGTTAGTCAACTATGAAGATATAAAAACCTTCAAGGAATTTCTTCCGAAAATATGTCTGCCAACTTTTTATATTCAAACACTGCATTACCGTCGCTTATAACACATCAACAGCAACAGCATCTAGTTACTCAGCGCAGCCGCTCAGCTTCAACATCCAACGCTGGACCAAACGTTCCTACTCAATACCAAGTTGCTCTTTCACAACCATACCAAACTCTTGGACCAATGGATGGATCTTGGACCCAAACTCAAGGATTGTATGTAAATGGATTAAATAAAATGATGAATATCTATCCTGGTCAAAATGTGACAGAAATGGAACAAACGCCTATGAGTCAGCCAAATGAGGTGAGTAGTTGACTAGCTTAGGCTTTCCAAGGTGGTTTGCTGTTGCCTGGATAAACCAGAACTGCTCAGACATTCTTTCTCGTGTTTAATGGTAATGTTTTGTTGATTTCTGTATATTTACGTAAAGTTAAAATTTCACTTTCAACCTACGTTTTGTACGTGGTCAAAGTAATGTGGCTATCCCTTCGGCGATTCTCTCTGAATATTGAATAGTATAGCCACCAGAATTTTGGTGTTAATAAAGCGAAGTCAAACTCGATCGATTTCACCACACTGGCTTTGAGCAACTAATCCAAATTAGGTAGCAAAAAGACTTGCAAAATCGTCAGAAATCACTACAGGTCATGGCGTTCGAATGCTTCGAAATGGCTAGTTATCCTCTCAAGCTTCCCGTCTATATGCATGTCTTAATGACCACACTCAATCCTTTTTCCCGGGACTCCATAACAAATGTCACGGTTTGATTTGGTTGTAAAACCTTTGAATCTAATTGATTGTCGAGAGGCATGTGCTGGAGTGGCTGCTATAGTTTAACTTCTTCACAACTCTGTTGTATTCCTGTCATCCCAGTAACAAGCAAAGTAAAAAAATTCCTAGTTAATGTTCGCCTACCAATTTGGAAATCCGTCACTAAGCTACTAATATTATGTAGTTTATTGCATGAATACTAACCAATCTCCTTTTTAGTTGAAGGATTTCGTCGTGAACTGACATCAGTTAGAGAACCATTGAAAAAACTGGACAGAGGTTTCGTCTTGGTTTGGGAAGTCCGAAAGGTCCTGGGTTCGAATCCTGATGGGTGCGTACTGATGAAGAGTCCCAGACTAGGACGAAGCAACTGTCCAGTGCTCCCAGGTTTCCCAATGATTCTCTAACTGACGTCAACTCATGATGAGATCCCTCCAACCAATCAAAAAATCCCTACAAAACCAATACTTGAAAATTTCCTTTTTATAAAACAAACATAAATCATCAGTTAAAGACTTCATGGCTTAGTATTGTATCTTCATGTGATCACTAGTAGCTTTTCCATCTTGAGTCTGTACAGTGTGCCCCAGTAACTGCAGTCAACGGTTCACAATTTTATTTGTGAACTTTTCTTACTTGATATTCACTTAGAATACTTGAGGTCTCTGTTTCAGAACATAACAGAAAGCAAAGGCTTGGCTGAAATCTAGGTTACCCTAAGGCTTCAGTTTTGTTTCTGAGCTGTTAACTAGCTTTCAAATAACAGCTCAGAAATACTATTAATAAGACTGACCCTTATGTAATGACAGCATACCTCGTACAAGTCAACGATTTAAAGTAGTTTATTGAGTGTGATTCTGCTCTACATGTGCTTTTTGTTTAGAGCTTAGTTAACCAGAACAGATTTTCCATGTATCAAGCCATTAGCCACAATTATTTGTTGAGGGATGATGCAAACCATTTGACCGGGCTAAAGTAGGTAAAGTGGGATTCAACTCCAGAATCCCGTGTCTGGAAGTCGTGCTAAAGCTAGTGAGCAACACAGTCAAAAATGTATGTACATGTTGCTGGGTAATAGTGTCTCAGTCGAGACTCGAACCCATCCTCCCGGATAGTGAAGCGTTTAATACTCATATGCTACTTAGTTGGTTCAGTTAGTTATCTGTGATGAATATCTTTGGACTTCTGGAACTAAGCTACAGAGGTATGCTGTTTTATCCTGTTTATGATATTTAAAGCAAATTTCCTAGTGGAAAGTTAAGAGTTCGCGCAATGTATGTTAAACTCTTCTGATTAGTGGCCTGATATGTTTTTCTAAGAAGTTATCAGACACTTGTCTTCTCATTAACTTTTCCTACTTTGTCAGCAAAAACTACAATAAGCCGTAAAAAAACTACTGAGAATCATTCGTATTAATACCTTCTCTTCCCTTTTTACTTTCCCTACCTACTGGTGCTTTCAGTCATTACAGAAACTGCTTCTTCACACTGTCAGCATTCAAGTCTCCTCTGATAACCAACTGCGGTGTTAATCTCTAAAAGTTATCACCATTTTACTACGCCGGAACCTTATTTTCATGAAATAGCATATCTGGTCTGAAGTTTCATTTAGAGTCACATATGAGAACTTTTAGTATCCATATATGCTAAATTAGTTAATAAGCTTTCCTAATCGAAAATACATCTACCGTAGATTTAAAAGACAGGCATACAGGACCCATGTGTGATCATCCACTTAGCCTCACCTCACTAGGAAGATAAGACTACATATACCATGCTTCAAGCACACAGGTCTCCTTGCCCTTGCAGGTACAAGGTGTGTCAGTGTTTTAAGATGGAGCAACACGCTCTCCTCATAATGAGAAGGGAAATAATTAAACCAGTGTAGTTTCAAAAATTCTAGGATCTATTAACGTACAATGTCTAGATCATGTCAGCAGCAGGTTTACAAACTTAATCCTGGAACATAGACATTAGTGATACTTCTCTACACACGGTGGTTTGGGACTACACCAGTTGAACTGTCTCATATTACTACTATTATTATTCACTAAGGGCGGTGCAATTCGAAAAATACCTGACTAAACACAAGACATGAGTACGCGTGATTTCGTCAAGACTATCCAATATGGTTTCTGCATTGAATGATGTATATCCTATTTTTATTGCATTAATTTATCTCATCGACTGTTCTGGATTGCTTGGAAAATGTGTGTTACCCGTCTGGGTTTCATGTGACAACCGCAACCCAGTTTTCGGCATCAGGAATAATTCAGTGAATATCGACCTTAGTGGCGCAAGTACACTTATACTATTCCTCCATTTTAGTAGAAACAGCATATTCCCTTATTTGTCTTGTTCTTTCTTTTGTTGTTTGTAAGCATTTAATGACCTGTAATTACATGATTTCTCAGCCACTTGTCTTCTCTTTTCGTATGTTTATTGTGCATACTAGTTGTATCAAATTAAACCATCATACAGCATCGTTGTTGTTGTTGTTGCTGCTCCCTTTGGTTCCGAGTGGAACATAGGGCTTCGACAACACATCTCCACTTTGTTCTTTTTTCTGCTGTCCATGCTTGCCCATGATCTCTCATCTCCTCCTTGCAAAGAGCCAGTAGTGGTCAAAACAAAAGATGGCTTCATCAGTCAATGAAATCGACAACAGTTAATTTAAGCCAGCCACGTAGGAATGTATAGACTTCCTGGTTGGGTTCCTCGGGACGGTAAGAACCATTGCAGGCTGGAAACAGTTGATGATATGGCTCAAAATCGTTCTCAATGGCGCAGATGCATCCACTCCTTGTGACTAATAATACCCAATAAAACTACACTGTTCTTCGATATTACTATTCTTTTTGCCTCATATCTCTGTTTACTGTCTCTATTTTGCGTTTCTTTTTACTTTCTTCTTTTCTTCTCTGGCTTTGTGTACTGAGTGAAGTGTGGCGATTCGAACTGCTGCACATCGGTGCAAAGTTCTATGTTGAAACCAGTCAGTCAGTTGCCAAAACAAAATCCCAGGGATAATCAATCATCTATTCAGTAGCATAATATTTTCAAGATGCATCTGAGATTATCTTTTTATCAGGTTCAATTTGAAAAAAGAAGTATTTTGATCAGTCACATGATAGTGTGACGTTTGGATTTTTATGATATTGAAGTCTTGTAAAAGAAAAATTAACTTATTCAAGTTTTACTGTGTGTGTGTATGTGTTTATGTGTGCGTGAGTGTAGGCTGGAACTAGAAATAGTCCTTTCGTATTATTAACTTGTATTGACTTCCTAAAAAACAACATTTCATCTAAACTATACACATAAATGACCAATAACTAGAGCGTTGCAGCCAAAAGTGTACTACAATTTCCAGTAGTCTAAATCTCTTTACCTAGGCCTGCATATGAAGAAGATCTATTAGATCTACTGACAATTGATGGATGCATAACTTTATAAAGTTAGATGACATGTCGTTTCTTCATCTCATAATATCTTTAAGAGAGCTGTAAAAATGTCACTCCTCTGATCTAAAAACAAACAAATCAACGATTATGCGAGTAACGTGATTCAAAAAGAAAGATATGTACCAATGATGAAAAAAGACCATTTGTGATTCCTTAGAAATATGCACATATTCGCTCCGTTTTGATCCTACACACCGTGTAAATTTATGCTGCTACGAATGAGTTAGTTTCGCTTAACGGCAAAACTAGTGGGCGTCTGCTTAAGATCACTGACACACACATACTGTCGTTTTATTTAGATGATTAGATTTTGTCTATGCCTTCATCGGATATTATTTTTCATACTTGTATTCTATGAAGTCGTATCATTTCATCCATTATAAAGCAAATCTTGACGCCTTAGCCCCTACTGGTTGAAACCAATGAGCTACGGTTAGTCTTTTTTCTTGTGAATACCAGGTTTTTTTTTGAATTTCGCCTGTTTGTTGACAATACTTCTAGTATGTGAACTGGGCTTATTTGGAGATTGTTAGAACCCCCCCCCCAGGTTTCTGCATCTGCAACAAACTTTCTTATACACCAAGCTATTAGTCATACTTGTTGTGTAAATGCTGATTTTACTACCCAGTTGCTCAGATTATAGGAAATGGGGTGAGATTCCAACCAAAGGCTTATAAAGCAATAAACCACCTTGTGAAGTTCTGTGCCACTATTTGTTCTTGTACGACAGGTGTACTAAAAAGCAGTCAATTATATGCATCCACCTAGGCATAGGGTCAGGCTAGAAAAGAGCCAGTGGTGGTCAAACGAAAACATGCTTTCATCAGTCAGTGAAATGCACAACAGTTAATTTAATCCACGTAGGAAGATGTAGACTTCCTGACTGGCCAGTTGGGATCCTCGGGACGGTAAACACCAATAACTGGAGACAACTGGTGATATGGCTCAAAATCGTTCTCAGTGACGGCTGGTGCAGATGCATCCACTCCTTGTGACTTATAATTTCCAATGAAACTATATTGTTCTTCGCTATTACTATCCGTTTTGTCTCATATCCCTGTCTACTGTCTCTGTTATGCATTTCTTCTACTTTCTTTTGCTTTGTGTGTTACGAGGACGGAGTGGGGCGACTTGAACTGCTGCACATCGTTGCAAAGTTCTATGTCGAAAAGACAGACAGACAAACAGATCCACCTAGGCGTGCTGGAAAATCCTGCTTCTAAACCTATTATGCTTCGAGAATCTGAAATCTAGGGTTTTTCGGTGACTCATCGCTGCTTCCTTGGAAATGCTTGCATCCAGCCATATCACTAAGTAATCCTAAAGTCCGGTAGCGTGTGTTTCAACTCTGTGGGGATCGTCTTTCATTAACTGTTATCATCATAGAACACTGGCTTCGGTGACTTGAGCATGTACTATAAATATCATTCTAGTGACTTCTATACTGCTGGCTGTTCGCTAACCCTGGGACTGGGTGGAAAAGGCGAATGGGTAGTCAGACTGTGACGTGGCTCTATGAGATGAAGGATAGTTGCGTCAAGTTAGCATCTGTTTATGCATCAGAACTCCCTGGGCGATTGGGTCCGAGTGACAATTTGAGTCAGTAGCTTAAGATGTGGCCAAGAATCGTAATCAATGACGAACATACTGTCTGTTTTTCTCTCTAATTCCCTTTCTGAAAATAACTTAAAGTAATGAAACATCCTTTGAATAGCTTTGATAAGTATGCTTACTCGCTTGCCTGTCCCTTATTCTATCCATATTTTCCTTACATTGTTTTATTATTCGTGTGTGTGGTGTGTGTATTTCATATTGCGTATTATTTTGGTACCATCATTTAGTGTCTGAATAATTTAAGTCACCACTTATTACACTGCAAAACTCAGTTTTACATGTTTTTTAAATTTAAATTATTGTCAAAATGCCTTTTTTGAAAACATTATTTTGCTATATAGAATTATAAATATTCACCTAACATCAAATTGAACGATTTAAACACACAATCATATGCTCATTCTTTCCAGCCAACAAATGGTAATACTGCCGGGAATCATGGATCTGTTACACTGGCTGCTGCACCACAAGTTCATTTTGCAGTTGCAGCCACTCCGAATGGTTTAGTTCAACCGCATACAGGCCTACAAAATCCATCTACATCTATGCGTTCCGATCAGACAACTGTTCTGCATTCAACCTCACAACATCCATCTGGTCAATCATTTCTTATTCCTGGAATAGTAGGCCAACAACCACCACCAACTTTACGTACATTAACACAAGATAATTTATCACCATCTGTCTACAGAGAGCCTGGTTCCAATCAACAATCAATGTTATCATCAGGTACAAAACAGACAAATAATCTGAACAGTGTAAACAATACACGTGATCTACACTCACGACTAATTGATAATGCTTCAATGAATCAATCAGCCTATGTGGCATCTGTTCCAGTTCAACAGCATCCTCCTGTTGTATCTCATCATCATCATCCTCATGCTCATCAGTTGTATACAAGTCCTACACTACAACCACCATCTTTACATGGTATGGTCGAGTATGTACAAGCTGTTTATCCAACTAATCCAAATATTCATATACCATATAGTCAACAACAGCAACAGCAGCAACAACAACCATCGGCAACAGCTATATTCAGTCATTATCCTGCTCAAATGAATACTCCTTTCGATTCAACAACAATGCATACAAACTTTAATTCACGTGTACGTCATAATACATGGACCACTACCACTTCTACTACTTCTACTGGTCTCGAAGACAATTCATCCTCTGCTGGTAATCATGATTCATCTATTCGAAAACTGAAAAATGATAAAGTCTTAATGCCAAATGACTATGCATCGTCTACACTGAATGAATATAATATTAATTCGCATGGTTCATATTCACAATATCCTACTGGTGGTGGTGGTCCATACTTTACTGGGTTTACACAGTCTTCTTTTTATCAACCGGATAGTAGTCAACAAAAAACAGATCTGACTAAACAACACCAGCAGCAACAACACCAACATCTACCGCCTGGTTCTATTACATTCCAACCTCATAATGAAGTACAAAAACAACATGCATGTAGCTATCAAAATCCAGCCTCTTTACAGTATAATTCTTCTCTAGCCTCAATAACTAACAATGATATTTCGTATATAACATCTGTTCCTATGGGTCAGTTACCGGCAAGATCTACTTACCATCATCATCCTATGCACAACAGTTCCTATTTACCACCACCATCAGGCAGTGTTGGTGGGCCGTCTTGTTTACCTGTTCAAAATAACAATAATTATAATGCTAATCATAATCAGTCGTCACATATGTATAATAATATTTACAATTCAGAGAATTTGAATACGACTGCTACTGCTGTCGGCGCCGCGGCCGCTGCCGGTGCTGCTACTACCACTACTAATGTACAACAATCAGCTTATCCTGTAAAGGATAACTATCCTCGTGGAAATCATAAACCACCACGTGAGTGGAATAAATCGAAAGAAATCAATCATCATCACCAAAGTAAAAATGCACAGAATCCACTTCACTCTCGTTCAAATAATACTACTAATAATACCAGTAGTAATAATAATAATAATCGATTGAAAACCGGAAGTAAAAGTTTTGCATCAGATAGGCAACAACCTGTTTCGTCTAGTGATCGTAAAGTGACATCTTCCAACTCTGCTGTAGGCAATAGATCAAGTGGAACAGGGAAACAAACTATCCTGTCAAATCATACAACTACAACAAATTTCATTCCGTCAGCAGCAGCAGCAGCAGCAGGAGGTCTTATTATATCTTCTAATCCTTCGTCTACAGTTTACCATGACTTCAATTCAACTAGTCGGGTGAATACAAGAGCAGATCATGTTGACTATCATCAGCATTCACAGCCTTATGTCAGTTCATATGCTAGTAGTGCAAATCAACAACCGCCAATGCCTACTGAGCATTGTATTAATGGTGGCGGCGTTGGTGTTCTACCGAAACATTTACAAACTTATCAACCATCCGTTACACATAACAGTCTGTTGCCTAGTTGTATTCAAAGTCTTCCAGAGAATTTTATAGCAAGTTTAAAATTAAGCGGTTTCCGTCTTGTCTTGGATTCTTGTCCGACTAGGTGAGTTTTATCATATTTTGGTTTTCATTAGATATTATGCTCCAATGTAATCCTTTTCATCAGACGGTTTGTAGTTCTTTGATTTAAGACGCTGAAAAATTAAGAGTAGGATGACCAGGTGCTTAGCATTAACAGAAAAATTAATTTCCTGCAAAAAATTGTGTAGAGAAAGAGTTCTATGTCATTCGGGATATTTTAAGCGAAAACGGATATCCGTAGCTTTGTAACAAGTGCAAACGTGATCTGATAACGGGTGATGATACACCTATGGAGATTTCATTCCCCAATGTCTGTCTAACCAGATCGATAAAGAGGAAATTCAACTCTGAATATACGTTCATATTCTTCGGTAGCCGTTGAATGCTCTCCTCAATCTTTGTGAGACACGACCATTGGAAGTGAAAGATGTGAAAAGACTAACTTTGATCATAGGTGTCTGCTTCCTATCTCCCGTGTTAAGTGGTATAATAGAGTGAACAATATTGAGGTGAGGCGTCGGTCGAGTGCTAGTTAAGGAGGGGAAATCAGTCGACAATGTCGTGAGGGTATATCGATTGAGAGAGACTGTTAGGACATCTTTTACGAATGTATGTCTAGAAATCAACCGACGGTCAATGTTAGCTGACAGTCATAGGATGGATCAGGTTGGAAAAGAGTTAGCTAGTGGTGGTCAAATCAAAACATGGCTTCATCTGTCAATGAAATCCACAACAGTTAGTTTAAGCTGGCCACGTGAAGAAATGTAGACTTCCTGACTGGTTGGAGTCCTTGGGATGATAAGAACCAATGAAGGCTGGAGATAACTATCGGTGATATGGCTCAAAATCGTTCTCAGTGATGGCTCCCGCAGATGCATTCACTCCTTGTAATATATCATATTCAATAAAACCCTATTGCTTTTCCACATTACCATTCTTTTTGCCTCACTCACACTTCTGTTTATTATCTGTCTTTTGAACCTCCCTTTATTCTTTTCTCTTGCTTTGTGTGGTACACGGAGGGAGCAACTTGAACTGCAGCACATCTGTGCAAAGTTGTTCTACGTTGAAACAATATCTTCACTATGACAGCTTCTGTCCTATAAGCTATAAGTATGGATTAGTGAGAACACCGTACGATAGCCAGGAAACTATGTCCACCTAACAAAGTAGAAGAATTAGGCTTTGTTGAGGAACGCCCAAAAGAAAATGCGTGTCCAAAGGGATTTATTCAAAACTACAGCAAAGAAAAGAACGATAAAATGAAACACGCAACTGTTGGAAAAAAAAGGAAAAATTCATTTGTCTCCCATTCAAATTAGAAGCAGTATCAAAAAAAGATTGACAAAAGAATGAAAGGACCAATAAAAAGGTGCTTTCCTGCAGCTAAGCTCGTGGCAACTCAAGGTGGAAAGTATGGAGAGGCTGGTTAGCTATCTTTGACCATAGTCGTCTGAGTTCTATTCCCTGTGTTAATTGGCGTGATATGATCAGTAATATCGAGATTAGGTATAGTGTATGGTAGGAATCGATAAGGTATTAAAATGGTTAGGATATGTGTTGTGCTTGTCAAGCCATCACCTTCCTCTATGGGTGCTAATGTTAGCTGACATAAGAGGTTGGGTTGGGAAAGAGCTAGCGATAGTCAAGTCAAATCCTGATATCACTCCATTAAGTTAGTTGATTGACAGTTGATTCAAACCATATAGGGAGGTGTAGAACACCTATCTGGGGACTTTGTGATGCTAATAGTTGGCGTCTAGAAACTATTATTGATATATGATCCGAAGTCGTTCTCAATAACTCAGATTCATTCACTGTTGGTAACCTCTAAGATTATGTTTTTTCCATGTTACTATTCTTTCTCCCTCACACCTATGTTTATTATAGTTTTAAAAAATGTCTTTTCCTCCCTTCTCTGCCTTTGTGTGCTACATTGAACTGTAAAAACTTGAAATAACTGATGCATTTCTGTGTCAAGCTCTGTGTTAAAACTCAGCATCAATAGCAATGATGAAGTGGCCATTGATTTTCTCTCAAGGTTTTAAAAATTACAAATATGTCATTATAAAAATATATTCTTCATTGTCATTATGGTACTAAGAGAAATTTAATTAATTAATGCATTTAGAGCCTGAGTAATATCAATTTGTCTCAGACTTCGTCTCATCTTCATACTTAAAAAAAACTAACTAACTAACTAACTAAACCATTGTTTTTACTGTAGTTCTATAACAAGATAGATTTTACCAGCCGACATTATCAACCAGTTGACTGACTGACTGACCGACTGAGTTTCAACATAGAACAGAACTTAGCCTAGAAGTTCAGCGGTTCAAGTTACCATACTCCCTCCATGTAGCGCACACAAAAGTGAGGAGAACAAGAGATTCAAAGGAACTGTAGTAGGCAAAAATGTGTATAAAGAAGGAACGTCAGAGAAGGTCTTACGTAGAATTCTCAATGACGCTGGTGGTTATAGGGTGACATTTAAACCAACCAACCAACCAACCTACTCTCTCAAAGATAAACTTTGTCATTCCAATATGGGTAAAATTTGTTTTGATAAAGTCTCACAGTGTTATACAGTAATGTTTACTGATGACGTTTCGAGCATAAACCATTGCTCATAATCATATCAAGGTACTCACACAACTTTCTAACTTCGTTAGTATAATTATATAAACGAAGTTAGTGAGGTCAATTACACAAGCCAGTCAAACTAGCAGATCGAGATCAACTAGAACATTGGAACATAAAAATTTAGCTGGCTAGACCTAGAATGATCATTGACCCTGTTAAGTTAAATAACCTAGAAAAAAACAGCTCAGCCATTGTACTGCATTGCATTGACTTGCATGTAGTCATCACACAGTAGGGTAGGACAGGGTAAGAGTATTAAGAAGTAATATAGTTAGATGGAGACAGAGAGAGGTTAATCACTGACTGAAGCTTTGTTTATCGATTCAACACCACACATGTGCAATCAGGATGACGCAGCGCTTATACCGGAGGTATGGAAAGTTGCAAAAAATAACAGGGAAGTTTGAGACACAAAGAGAGAAAAACTATATAAGAAAAATTGTGATAACGTGTAACTAAACTGACATGATTATGAGCAGCAATAATGTATTCTCGATACCTTATCATCCAGTTGTTAATGCAGCATCATCGCTGTGTGATATTTAAAATAAACTTATCTAGTATGGAATTACATTCTGCCACCACAGTGCCCAAGTTCTACACTTACACATGAATAAAACTATGACGGTTTGGTGGATATAGAAGATCATAAAAGGTGAGTACATCAGTGCCAGCCGTCACCGACAACAATTTCTAGTCATATCACCAGTAGTTTCCAGCCTTCATTGGTTCTTAGCATCCCAGTGACCCCAGCCAGGGGGCGCGGTTTTCTTCTCCCCCTCTCTCTCTCTCGCTATGTGACTCAAATTAGCGGTCAAAAATGCCAGGTATCTTTTTTAATTTGACCATTCATCGCTACTTTTCCAACCTAATCATACATCAGCTAACATTTCTCGTCGAGGAAGACGATAGTTCGGCGTCTGTGACACCTGTCCTGGCCATCTCAAACAATCAACTAGTTAATAATACACATTGCAAGATGATGATAGGATAACTTTGTCTTATTAGTATCAAAATTATACCAACCTTGACAGGATGATCTGTTTTTGCCCTTTTCCGTCCCATCATGCACCCTTAACCTTCCCGAGGTGGCATATAAGATGAATCAGCGATAAAAATATATCAAAATAGATGAAATGTTTCTTTCAGAAAAATGCCTGAAGTATTTCTGAGTCAGTGTTGATTCCTTTTTCATTTCAAGTCAGCTAGTAAGTTAGAACCCAATGAAAGTTGCTTATTATCAACGCTTTTATAAACAGGTTATATCCAGGCTATATATCTGTGTAATATTTCATTTGTCTTTTTTCCTTTGTAGAATGTTACTCAGTACCTCGTTAGTTGGTTCAGTGATTGGTCGAGGCGGTAGAACTATTCGTCAGATTACAACAAAGACTGGTGCTAAAATAGGCTTGAAACAGGATATCATTACCTTTTCGCAGTTCTCTTTACCAGGAAAAGGGAGAAAAACATTCAAACCGTCAGCAGATCCCGCTAGTAGTAATAGTACTGCAAATGACAACGTAATCAGTAATAAAGCAGGAGGAGAAGAAGTAGCAGAAGAAGGAGAGGAGGTGAGGAGTGACGAGAAAAATCAGTCACCTGATGACAATGGAGATACTACTTCTACTACTCCAAGTACTACTACTACTACCAGCAATAATCCAGAAGATGACGGTCAACCGACAGAATCAACCGCGAATCCAGTCAGTGAATCTGAGTCACCACCAGCAGCAGCAACGGAACCACCACCACCAATTAGCACACTTCAATCTAAGCTAGAAATTCAATCAGACCAGAGTCAACTTGCTGTTCTCTATGGATCCAGGGAACAATGTTCCGCTGCATTGTATGAAATCCTTACTATATGCTTCAGGGAATCAAAACATCGTGGTTTCTCTGATCCATGTTTAGGCCTACTTGTTGAACAACAAATTTATAGTCAATTAATTATGAATAAAGGTAAAAAATATTTCAATGCTATACACGCTGCTACAGGAGCACGTATATCAGTAACTGGGTAAGTTTAATATGTTGTTTTTTTTAATCCTTTTGCGTTCCCAATAGAACACAGGGCTACAAGCTAGAGCTTTGAAGTTTCGGTAGCATTGGCTTTATTTTTGCAGGGTTAGGATTGCTAGCCTTGCGCCCAACCTTCTCTCTTTGCCAGGCTTATTACCAGCTAAGCGAAGTTTAGGAGTGCGTCAACCGGGGGTCGAACCCTGGACCACGTGAGTGACTGGCGGGCATTCTATCTCTGCGCCGCCAACGCATAAGTTTATAATATGTACATCGTATTAACTATGTAGAATAACAATAATTATTGTTAATACACAGACTTGGTACGTTGTGGCACCAAGCGATGCGCCACACAAAATCCCATGTTTTATGCGAGAGCTGGGAGGACTGTCCGGGCGCCCAAACCAAAGCAGCAGGTCGATATCTGAAGGGGCCACCCTCTCCTTGAGCCTTTGAATTGAACGGCCTCACCCACAAGGCACTTTGTCAGTGTTAGGAACTGCGTCCCATTGGTTTCTGGTGTTTAAAACAAGTTCATAGGCAATCATTCGATCCTCTCGGAGTCTTCTTGGAGTCCACGTACATATCATAGGTTTGAAATGAGGGTTTCCCCCTCCCCCTAGACCTGCATATTCACCAGTCCGATTGTAAGTTCCAGACGTCCAAATTCGCCCTTTCACTTGTGATGAAGGCAGTGAATATGACCTTTCGAGAGGAAGCCGGAAGTCTACCCACTCTTGGCCCCCTACCAGGTCGTTTCTGGGAGCAAGTAGAGTAATGAAAAGTAATTCATTGAATTAGAATAAAAGGACAAGACATGAATCCGTGTAGTTAGACTGGGAACATTTCTTTTTTTGGTAACATCTTATGAAGCTGTGACTTATTGGCCTGTCTAAGTATTGGGCTTCGAGCCAGGGGTTCACAGGTTCGAACTCCTCTCCACCTACCTACCACCGAGCTTTGGACAGCTAAGTAGTATTACTAACGTTGACATAGTAGGTGTAGCTCGTTGCCAAATGCATTAGAATGCAAATAATTATTGAGTAACATTCCATTTTGTTGTGCATCTCCTGGTGCCTATAATGTAACATGTTTGGCTTCCGAGTGTGACGTAGAGCTCCAACAGGACATCTTCATTTCATCCTGTTCTCTGCAGTCCTTTTTACTTGGCTCTACGATCGCCCATAAGCTTTCATCTCCTCCTCACACGATCTCCATACCACCTTTAAGGCACCAAACTTTTCGTTTCCCATTGAGTCTCCACACGAGGGCCTGGTGCATCGTGTCAGTCAAATGGTCTCCTCACAGTGTGTCCAATCCATCTCCCTTTCCTTCGGAATATTTTTCTGGCAGCAGATTCTTGGTTGGTTTGTTACCAGAGTTCCTTGGTGCTCACTATTTTCTGGCCATCTGGTCTTCAGTAGAGATGTTGATAAAAATCTGTAGTAGCCTGTTGGAAGTTCTTTTCGTGGCTCTTGCGCCTATTCTCTGAACTACATAGAAGAACCGATTTGACGTTAGTGTTGAAAATCTGAATCTTGTTTCTTATGCTGAGTACTGTAGATTTCCACATTGATTTAAGATTAGTTAAGGTCTCTTGTGCTTTTATGATCCTGGCTTTGTGGCATCCTTATCCGTCCCCAACTGCCTGTAGTTGAAACGATTCTGCCTACATAAGTGTAAGAGATGAAGTTATCCTACAAATTCCGCCCGTTGATGGTGTTTAATGCTCGTTGTTGTTGTTGTTCTTGTTGCTAGTTGTCGAGTATCTTCACTACCTCTCTCTTCCCTATATTCACCTGAAATCCTGTCTTCGCTGCTTGTCTCCTCTGCCAACTTGTTAACTGTCGCCTATAATAAATCTTCGAGTTTGTGTGACATTAGGCATTAATCGTCCTAGAAGTAAGAATGACAATTTCTTTTATTGCACACAATCATCTTCGTATCTTTCATTTTTATACTTGTGTTTTATCATCAAAGTGTATATTGATTGGAATCACTTAACTTCTCGATGTTAACAGAAATCTTCTTTTGGTCAGTTGTTGTATGTTCAAGTGTTGGTTTGCAAGGATTTCATCATGGACTGACATCAGTTAAAGGACCATTGGAAAACTAGCTGGGAGTACCGGACTGCTAGCTGTTTCGTCAGCCCAGTTCGGGATTCTTCATCAGTACACACCCACCACAGGGGTTCGAACCTAGGATCTCCTGGTTACAAGGTCAGCGAGCTCGTAGACTATTAAGCCGCTGGGACGCGATCCAGTGGTCAGCCCATGAGTTCCAACTTCTGCCAATTCATGATATGGTGTGACCACTAGCGAATGTTAATGGCGTTGCGCACTGAATTTCGCATATTTTAGAATATTTGCTAAGCAAAACTGTTTCATTTGTAGTTATGTTGAAGTAATCATTCAGTGATATTGTACAACTATACATTACTATTTTTTATGTCAATTTTGTTTTCCCGTTAAATTGACTGGACCAAAATGTGTTCAGCCTCTGTGTTGACGTGTGTTGTCGGCTCCTAATATGGACTGTCCATCGATGATGTCTAAGGATTACTATGGATGGATGGTGATTAGTGTAGTAATGGAATCCAGAATGCTCATTTTGTCTTATTTGGGACTCATCGTCAGCTGGTTGTACCAGCAATTCCCAGTGAGTTAGTCAGTGAGTGAGTGATAGTGTTGCCTCTGAGATTCGAACCTAGTGTGCCTATCGTTTCAAACACGAGACTGTTATCCACTACAGCACTACGGTCACAAGAGTGACCTCCTGTGCGATTGGTATCAGTTATTATTTCTGTTTAAGTCAATTTTAACACATTGCTATTTAAGAACACAATATTCAGCGAAGAGACTCTTTACAACAACGAATTTATTATCAAGCTGTACAATAGTATATGTATATCTATGGTTTTTTATATTTAGAAATTATATTCCTTGAGGAAATTCAAACAAAGGTGTGAATGCATGAAATAATAATAAGTAGTAGTATGAAATGCAACTAAAATTAAAATATTTGTGATTATAATCATAGTTAAATATCAAGTGGCAAAACAATTCATGTCATATACAGAACAATTCAAAGGATGTATAGATAGATATTGGAAAGGGGTGTATAATTATAGGATTAGTAGACGAATATAAAATGTTACATAACATGGTGTGGAATTGGAAAAGATAGAATTCAATATTGTAGAGAAAAATAATTTTGGACTTAGAATGACAAGTGGGACAAGCGGAAATAATTCAGAGTGAGAAAAGCTATAATAATAATAATGATAATCGTAGTAATAAGGGAAGAGTACATAGATTAACTAAATAAACAAAATAAGTAAATGAATGTCTATCCCTCTACGGTCAAGACACAATTAGGGATTGTTCATACTTCTTTTGAACACAAAGGTCTGGTTTAAAGTCATGAATGTCCAAGACCTCCACTGTTTTTAGAAGTTTATAACGTGGAGAACGCGGCCGGTAAGTTGGCATGGATTCGATAGATGATCTTAAAATCATACTCAGGGTTGACAGAGTGACAGAAGTCGATAAGATGTTCTAGGATAGAGTTTCGCACACCCTTTCTCTCTTGTAAAACCATGCTGGAATATGTTCTCGTATCCGTGTGGTGGTGGCCAATGTACCTTGCTCCACAAGATCAAGTGAACTGATAGATGCACATGGAGGCGGCCACAAGAGGGAGCTTATCCTCTACAGAGATGGAGGGCAACAACTTACGGCTGGTGAAGTCCATTTGTAATTTTGCAGCAAAGAACGTCCTACTGACTGATTTAGAGAGACGATTTTTGAGCATATCTGAAGCCTGATGATCACCTTTGAATTCCAAATTCATGAAGTCTTTGGAACTGAGTCGGTGACCAGTTTGAACTGCTTGCCTTTCGTGTTACTGTCAATAAATCGGTTCGGGTAACCGTTTTCTGCCAGCGTGGCTTTCAAGAAAGTTCTGAGTCAACACAATCAGAACTATAAATGTTTTTTTTTGTCTTAAAGCAGAGCGAATGAATTAAGTTCCTCTTGTTGGAGATAGATACCCAACTATAAAAATGAGTTAGTTGTCCATTCCATTTTTTTTTTGCCACTCAATATTTAACTATGTTTGTGATCATAAATGGTTTAATTGCATCTCATACTATGATCATTTTATGCATTCATACCTAACTATGTTCAAATTTCCTCACAGGTTATAATTCCATAATATAAAAAGCCATATACATACGATTGTACAGCTCCATAATAAATTCGTTTTTAGAGAGAGTTTTTTCGATGAATATTGTGTTCTTAATGTTACAATTGGAATTATTAAACATTACTATTTCCCTCTTTTTTCATCTCTTTCTTAGTACACCTCTGCAAATCTCTTCTACCTCATCTACTGATGGTAATGATCAAGAAAAATGCAATCCAACCGGCACTACAGATCGTGTACTAGTTGTTCGTGGTCATTTGAATGCAATTTGTGCCGCTGAAGCCTTCCTCAGTGAACAAATTCGTTGGGCAACAATTGAATCAGTAATTCCGTCGCATTTTTGGCCTTTACTCAACCATCTGCCTTCTATACCACTCGTGAATAATCATAAATCATCGAATACACCGTTTAGTTATGATCCACAATCAGTCTGTTCATTGATTATGTCATTAGGATCAATATTTTGGCCACAATCCGTTTGTGCAAAATTAGGCAAGAATTCTTCCTTGCAATATAATAATAATAATAATAAACGATCTGAAGTTCGAAATACAAATCTGTCGACGAAGTCTAATAGTGGTCTACCAGAGAATGATACAACGAATAGTGTGAATACTCTCAGTCCAGTAGATATTCATGATGATGAGGGTGATGGTGACGATGATGACGAAGATGCCGATGCCGATGGCGATGATGCTGATGATGTTGATATTGTAGAGGAGGAGAATCATGAAGATAAAGAAGACTTGGAATATGATGCCAAAACTCTTGTCAATGAAGATAATCTTAGCGAAATGAACTCTGAGGGAGTAGTAATACAAGAAGGTATTGACGATAATCCCGCCAATGACAAGGTGGATGATGATAATAACACCAGTCTTCCTCTGGATAACACAGACTTGTCATCAGAGGATATTAATGAAATTACTGTTATCTCTGTCTCCGCCTCGGATATGGAAGATAAAGATGAGGTGATGACAGTTATAGAAGTAACTGACAACGATAAAAGTAAGCAAAGCATACTTTATAGTCACATTTCTTGATAACATATTATTATTACTATTATTATTTAGAATATTAAAAACTCCTTATAAGTATTAAATCTGTTGCTTCCCCCCTTCCCCCCCGGTGTACTACTAGAACTACTGTGGAAATGTGGCTAGCTGGCTTGAGCATGCGACTTTCAGCTAATGAATTCTAGATCCAAAAAGGAAGAAATTGCAGCTTATTCACCATTTATTCACCGGGATTCTTCGGCATGTCTGAAAATACACCTCAAACCGATGATTCGAATTATTATCAGACTCAGACCCCATCGCCAAGGGGGTTGGCAAGTGGTATGGGAACTGTTGTGATAACTGACTGATAACGGCGGCTACCTTGATGTAGTGAACGGACTTGCATATTGCAGTGACTCAATGAGCTGCATCGGTTGGAACTAATGTTCCTAGCAGTCGTCCTACCCTGCCGGAAAGGTTGTTAGGATAGTGATTGGACTAAAAGCAGTTACCATTATAGTGTAAGATGTTTACACTGCTGGGGAACAGGGATGTAACATCAGTAAGGTGTGTTTCCCTCAGATGACCAGCATGCATCCTGACTTACCTTACGGTGGTCTGTAGCAGGTGGAAAAATCTTAATACGGATGCAACTCCAAAAACCACTTTAACAGACCTTGTGTAACTGACTTCAAGCAGTTGTCCTGTGAACTCTGCGGTCACACAACACTGATTCTCTTTCTGCTCTAAGTACCCTAAAAATCAGGAATGAAATTTGTGGTAAATATCCAAGTTACCGAAGCCGGTGGTGTTCCAAGATGACAATACTTAATGAAAAACTATCTCCATTGTGTTGAAACATACGCCGGCGGACATCAGAACTACTTACACTATTGGAGTAATTCTAAGGAGATAGCGATGACCAAACATCATACCGAGTCGCCGAAAATCCTGAGATTCTGGAGGGCATAGGTTTGGAAGTAGGGTTTCCCGCCTCCTCTAGGTGGATGGGGCGTATAATTAGTTGGCCGTTAGTACTCTTCTCATACAAGAACTGACAGTGACACTGAATTGGGCATAATTATGTATCAGTTTTTAAGGTGGCTCATTGGCTTAAACACACGCACACACACAGGATTTCAATTTCTCCCTACCGATTTCAGTTTGAGCAACTTAGTAGTAACAAAAATCACACATATGGCTTGTGGCACACAGTGTACATAAGAAATCTCTTTCGGGTAATCATGTATTCCATTTTAGATGATATTTGTGAAATCTTGGACAGTGATAATCTTTCGATCCTAACCTCGATAGTTATTCAATCCGTTGAAAAGAGAAATAGCGATAAAATAATAGTTTTATTAGGTGGTGGTGGTGGTTAGTGATGCACAGGAATACCAGGAGTATCTCTAGTAGCTTTAATCATATCGAGGCCTTTTAACGGACACATCTAACTAGTGAACGCACGATTTATGTGACTGGGTAGAGAATCACCAACCCTTCAACACAACAAGTGTGGTTCATAGTCTGTGCGTTTAAACTCAAGTACCTGGTACAAATCTTTCATGTAAACAACAGTCTGTTATCAGCTGGATTTACTTTATGAAAACTAACGACACCCCCTAGTCCTTCAGGCTAAAGCCAATCAGCCACGTGTCCAGGTAACTGAGGTTTAAACTATCTTGTTCCTGAAACATGATCAGCAAATTCTGTATATTCTGAATATTAATCGCACAGTGGTTTTGCCAAATGCGAGAACTGCTGCGAAGACAATCATGTAGCTGTCACAGATCGTCTACTTGCGGTGTCACTGCTTCTTAACTATACAGGCAGCACACTATTGTTCAGTACATTGGATCTTAATAGGCAGTTAGATATTCTTACCTGTATCATAAGTGGTGCAACTTTGTTAGCCACGAACCCATTAGGACAATCAGCTTAACAACTTCACTTCCTATATTTGGATTAGACTTAAATGTGTATCGATCACGTAGGGAAAATTTACTTTCTTCTTGGAGCGCAAACACACTCAAAATGTTACTCAACGCCCTCAGAATACTCTGTGTTGTCAGTGTCTTCTCCCGGTTGAACTGTCAATTAAGGGATCTGTCACCAGGTAGGTGTTTCCTCTGTGTTAAGCAGTATATGGGAGGTAGTCACAAAAATCGAGAAAGTAGAAATACCTGATAGCCAGCCTCCTTGGCGTATCTACCTCACGAAATAGTTGACCAAAGACTTTTAACTACACATCTTGAGTTAATACTAATAATTTGTGAAGTTTGTCTGACTGATTGATTTGGGGGTACCTGAAACAAAAGAAGCATTATAGTTGTGTGACCCCGCTGACCCCTAGGGATAACTGCTTGAAATGGTTCTCGGAGTTGCGTCCGTATTAACATCTTCCCGCTTGATACGGACCGCCGTAATGTAAGTCAGGATGTACAGATTTTGCGGTTGACTTTTTCTAACCCCTTTCCCATCTTCAGAATGAAAAGGCAGCATATCTGTCATACTGACCATCTGAGGGAAACACCTAACCGCTGTTACATCCCTACTCACCAGCAGTAGTAAGACTTCGTCCACAGATCCTCAGCATAGTGTAAACCACATACACTGTGGTAGTCAATGGTTTTTAGTTAAAACGCTATCCAAACGACCTGTGTAACATGGTAAGACCTGCCAGTGTAGCTCATTGGGTCATTGGGATATGCAAGCCTGACCATCACTTCAAGGTAGCAACCACTAGTCTCAACAAACTAGAGTAAGTCAATATAGAAAATCAGTGTGAGAAATATTTTATCACTTCAGTTTATCATATGTATTCATTTCTTCCCTCATACTACTTTATCTAACCATAATTTAATCTTATAGCCGAATCTCAATCACCGCCTGTCTGCATCGATTCTGGAGTACAAAAATCTGATAAATTTGATGAAACCAGCTCTGATCAGTGTGTAGTTGAACAACTAACTCGGTCAACAATGCCTAAAGAAACTAATCTTGTTGTCGCGACTGCAGTTCAACAATCACTCATTGCTGCTGTTGGTCCAATCGCTTGGCTAGCGACTGGCGGTATGCTATATATGCGTGTTTCATATAATGAAGCTGGAGCTTTAATCGGTACAGAAGGCTCTCGAATTCAACATCTTATGCATATTACTGGCGCAGAAATAAATGTCGGCAAGGTAAGTAAAGTGTGTGCGCGTGTGTGTGTTATGTGTTTAAGCAAATTGTGTTGAAAGTACCCCCCCCGCTTCCCCTTGGGTTGGTTTATCCGTAGTTATAATTGGGCTTAGTGTTTGACATTTCAAAAAAATTTAGCCTTTGATGCGTTAATTACTTGTAGTAACTGTCGTATCGGTACTGCAGTTCCGGTGCAGTATCATTTCAGTATTGTGTAGAATGAAGTGAACCAAATTTTCAACATAGAGTGATCAGTCAATAAAAGGATGTGAACGGATTTACGTCATTGAGAATAATTTCTAGCCATATCACTAACAATCTCCACCTATTAGTTCTCAGCTGCCTGAAAACCCCACCCAGATAGACAGACAGACAGACAGTCTACACCCTCCGTAGTAGAGTGGCCCACGCACCCAATAGTCGAAGACGTCATCTATTGATGACGTGTTTTAGTTTGCTTTCTCAACCAAGGGACGTGTGTACTGCTCAGCAGTTCGCTCCGTCCTTCTCTATGGCTGGCTCTGAAACATGACCAATACGAGTTGAAGACATGAAAAGGTTGACTGTTTTTGATCACAGATGTCTACGATCTCTTTCTCACGTTAGGTGGCATAATCAGGTAAGTAATGTTGACGTTAGGCGTAGAGTGTTGGGCAAAGAGGGAAAATCAATCGACGAGGCTATAAAGTTACATAGATTGAGATGGCTAGGTCACGTGCTGCGCATGCCTAACCATCGCCTCCCCCGACGGGCATAACTGGTTGATATAGGTGCAGGTTGGAAAAGAGTAAGTGGTGGCCAAACAAAAACATGGCATCCATCAATCCATGAAATCCTTGACAGTTAAACTGACTGAGTCAGGTAGGGAGATGCAGACTTCCGGGTTGGGCCCGCCCTCGGGACTCTAAGGATCATCAATGGCTGGAGACAATAGGTGACATGGCTTAAAATCGTTGTCAATGGCGCAGATGTATTCAATCTCTGTAATCTTTCATATTCCTTTCTACCATTACTCATTCTGTTTCACTCTTATTCTTGTCAAAACTCTATTGATTCTCTTCATTCATCTTCTTGTCTACCTTTGTGTGCTATTTGGAACGTGGCAACTCGAACTGCTGGACTTCGGTGCCAAGTTCTATGTTGAATCCAAACAGACAGCTTTCTCATTCCTTTGCTTCAAGTTTCAATAGCCGGTGGTGTTGAACTTTACGAGATAAGATTGCTTACCTCACATGTGCAACCTTCCCCCTTTACCACCAGGCTTACTACAGATTGAGTGAGGTTTACGACTGCGTTGGGTGGAAATCGAATCCCGGACCACCATGTGCATGGTTGCCGTGCGAGCATTCTACCAGTGGACTACCAACTGACGTGTTCTGGTTTGGCCATGCCAAACTCTTCTCCAATCCAAACCTATAGAGTTTTTAACCCTATATTTCAAATACTGCCATTGTGATAATATAATAATATTATTAGTAACTAGTTTTCTTCACCTTATATGTTAGACTTTTTACTGATTTGATCAAGAGGTGACATCGGTTAGAGAGAACCATTAGAATACCATAGAGAGTGCTGGTTCTAGCTCGGAACTCTTCAACAGTACGCCTCCACTGAGGGTCGAATCTAGAACCTTCAGGTTGCGAGGCCTATGAATTCCAAGTTCTACCAATTCGCGATATATATACATGTATATATGTGCGTCGGTGGCACAACGCCTAGGACGCTCGCCGACCATGTACATGGTCTGGGGTTCGATCCCCGGCCGACGCACGCCTTAACCTCGCTAAACCAGAAATAAAGCTGGTAAAGAGGAAAGGTTGGGCATGAGGCTAGCAACCCCATCACCACTGCTACAGAAACTTCAAGCCTCTAGCTTGAAGGTGGTCTATGTTCCAGTGGGAACGTGAAGGAATATATATATATATATATATATATATATATATATATATATAGCGTTCACTTATCTGAGTGTGGCGGAACCCGCTGATCACCCGACTTCTCACTAGAAATTTAGATAACTTCCTGTATAGGACAAGTAGTTAAATTTGCAGAGATTTGATTGGTTACTGGTTCGATCACCTACTCATTCAATCACTCACTAACTCACTCTTACTTTTCTTTTTCACTTTAAAAAATATTAATATTAAGGTTCAAATTAATCCACCATATGCAATCAGTCCATCAACTCGCACTACTCATACTGCTAATGCTACTGCTACTGCTACAACTGCCACTACGAAACGCACCACCAATTCATCAACTCAATCATCTGATCGCAGATCACCAACATGTATTTCTCTAGCTGATTCTTTCTTGAATAATTCTACACCGGATGAAGATTCTTCTTTGATGAACAATAAAGTCGATCAGTCCACCAGTAATCAAGATGATAATATTGATGATGATGATGGCAACAACACCTCTGTGAAATCATCAGATGCCACTGAAAGTTTGAATGCTACAACAGAACCTACTGATGATATCAACAACTGTAACGACGACGAACAGCAACAACAACAACACAACCAAGCATCAAGTCAATACAACAGAACCTTCTACTGTTGTAGATCAATCCGTGGACAACAATAATAATGAAGATGGTGGTGAACAATCCACAATACCAAAATGCCCAAAAGCATCTTCTGATTCTTCTACCTCCTTCGCCATCTTTATGTAATGATAATAAAAATGACGACAACAGCAATAATACTACTACTACCAATGATAATAATACTGATGAAAGCGGTGAACAGTTGTCATCAAGCGGTACAATGCCTAGTGCTTCTTCTTGTCATTCCGATTGTGGAATTGCTCAACAAAAAACTGATATACCTCATTCAAAAACAACTGAATCAAAAGGCATAATAAATTCAGCAAATCAATCCTATCGTTTAATCACTCTATCGGGTTCTGCTCAATCACAGATTATGGCTCAATGGCAAATATTTCAACGTCTTAAGAATATACGTAAAAAACAGGTGAGTTGAGTGTGTGTATGTGTGCGTCTGTTTTAAATATTGCCCTTATTCTCCCTAATAATACATAAAATCATACAATCCTAGTTTGTATAATAATAATAATAATAATAGTAATCACTTTATTCCACAACAATAACAATTTACAGCATGGAATTTTCAGCGTTTCTTTTACATATTGCAATGGTTTAGCTCTGTTTATAATTATATAAATGTATAAAATATTAAAATATTGATAGTTAATAGGAAAAAATAAAACCCCAACAAAACCACACCAATTGCTAGGTCATAGTGAATAATAAGTAAATAATATAACAAGTAACAGATGCAATAATATGCATCATTACATTTTATAGTTTAGTTAATGATTTAAAAGTTGTAAAAGTTCTTTTCTGATATTTGTCTCTTCACACAATACTCGTGCCAAATATGGTACGGTCGAATTTTAATATTTTGTAGTACGAACATAAATGTTTATGAAATTTCTTCCTGTCTTACTCGAGGAGATGCAAGGAAACAATTGTGAATAAAGAGGATGTTCACTATCAGACAGAATAACTTTAGCTAAGTGTTTACAAGAATTCATGTACCTATTGACAACAGTGTCAGTTAGTTGAGTCAAAGGGATAGCACTGACCCTACTTACAGCCTTCAATGTTCTTCGTAGTACTATATGGTCATTATTGAGTAGCTCAGGGAAAAATAATGGAGAACAATAAAGAATGATGGGCAAAACACATGAATTAATAAATTGTATGAGAAGAGGTTGGGTTATACCTGAGTGCCTCAACTTCTTTATGTAATAAATCAGATGGAAAACTTTCTTAGAAACTATAAGAATATGAGACGACCAGCAAAGGTTTGAAGAGAAACTAATGCCAAGATAAGAAACACTTGACTTACTCTCTATCATGTAACCATCAATATTACAACAATCATGAGATTGGATCAATCCATGCATGTCTTTTTCACTTCTCAAGCTGAAATCAACAGTATTACATTTAGTTGGATTTAGTTTAAAACCATTTGAGCCAGACCAATCCTTAACTTCAGCTAGGAAGCCATTCATATGGGAACAATCCGATGTGGAAACTACAGGGACAGAAACGGTCAGATCATCAGCATACTTAATGAAGTTAACTTTGGGTGAGTTCGGAAGGTCATGCAAAAAGAAAGAGAAAAGAAATGGAGAAAGTACTGCACCTTGAGGCACTTTTATTTATTTATTTGATTGGATAAAGGATTTCATCATAAGCTGGCATTCGTTAGAAAACCACTGGAAAACCTGCAGGGAGTACTGGACAACTGTTTCGTCAGCCTAGTTTGGAACTCTTCAGCAGTACGCCCCCACCCCACTGGAGTTCGAACCCAGGATCATCTGGTTACAAGGCGAGCTCGTAAACCATTGAGCCACATCCAATGGCCCATAAAGTCTAACTTCTGACAATTCACAACATAGCGCGACCATTTCACAATGTCTTCTTCGATGAGTTACTGCCTCATCTTCAACCTGCTGTACCCTAATGGGAAACCGTGACCAGTAGGGTTGCGCTATGTCGTGAATTGGCAGAAGTTAGAATTCATGGGCTGGCCATTGGATCGGGTGCGTCCCAGTGGCTCAATGGTCTACGAGTTGGCTGGCCTCGTGACCAGAAGGTCCTGGGTTTGAACCCCGGTGGATACATTTTCTTATCATCATAAATCAATCCTTCAGTAAGGAGGGATTGTCGTAAAACAGTCATAGTGAAATAAAACACAAGAATGATAAGGTTATCTGAAATTATTGGCATGGAAATATATATATATATTTCCAAGTGGTTGGTGTGTCCGACGTCGAATGAGAAGATGATGATGATTATGACATAGTTCAGTCCAAAGTCTATTCTGAAGGTCAAGGAAAAAATGGGACAATGAAAACAAAGTGATGAATTTAAAATAACAAAAAAACAAGAAATTATTAAGGTGAAAGTTATCAGAGTCATTGAGGTCCACCCACAACGTATTCCTTTTTGAACGCATAGATCAGGTTTCAGCTGTTTTATTGCAATAGCCTCAGTAAACTGAACTGCTCCATCAGCTAGTAATCTCCTAATTCCCACTTACGCATGTAGGAAATAAAACAACAGATTGAGCGAAGAAGTATGCATTATTTTTCAATTAGTAGTTCCTTATCGTCGGCTGTCGCCACACTAATATATGGTTTTTTTTACATCAAAATCGTTTTTACCAATCAAATGGTTATTTTAGTTAATCAGTTTTAGGTATAGAGGGGTGAATTGAAGAGGTTGAAGGTCATCAAAACAATTAACTAATAGATGTTAGGAACAAGATATCTAAGTTTCGGAGGAACAGGTGAAAATTAATTAACTACGGAATTCAAGATAAATTAATCCTTAGGCGTTAGCAACAAGTTATTGCATAATTAAGAAAATTTTAAAATAACAATGACTATGAAGAATGGAATAAGTCGACTTTTAACTGAACACCAGTTTGTTTGGTGCAGATTGAATTCTATCAGTCAAGTTTACAATGTGGCCGCCATTCTAAGTTGGTTTGCCATCACGGCGCACTTTGAATTTTTGATATTGAATGGTTGGAGGCAATCGACTACAGGAAGCCTACAACACTGGGTGACGTGGGTTCGAATCTCAGAAGGGAGACCTGAGTTCCTTGGTTACATGGAGAGGGAAAATTGGTTTTTTAAAAATTTACTACATATTATGTAGTTGGCCATGTCAAGAAATGCTCTCAGATGCGTCTATTCAATCTCAAACTATTCGGTCTTGAAACCACCACACTAAAAACCAAATTGTTCATTTTTGTCAAGAAACCTCGCTTTCATAAAATGTATACTTTATGTAATCACTCTATCACGGAGAGGGGGGGAGTTAGCCGGCAGAAGACTCCCTCAACCTAAGTTATGTGTTTCTTGACACTCGTTAGCAAAACGTATCTATAACGTTGAAGGAATTGTTGTAGTAACAGACTGGAACTCATATCGTCCAATACTGCACTCAAAGATGTTTCCACTGAGAGCTATTTGGACTCATGATTTGACCTCTTATAAGACTGTTGTGGATACATGGAGAAATACAAACATTATATGATTTTAATTTTCCTGTCAACATCCAGCGCCAATCAGCATCAACGGGAGGGATTTGAAAGAGGTTACTTCATTCACTTATCTAGGGAGCATTGTCTCAACTACAGGAGGCACGGACGAGGATGTCAAATTGAGAATCGGGAAGGCAAGAAACACATTCATCAACCTGAAACCAATTTAGAAATCTTCGTCACTCAACTCAGCGTCAACAACACAATTCGGATTTTCAATACAAACGTCAAGTCAGTCAGTTATTCTATACGGATCAGAAACTTGGCGGGTCACAAAGAATATTTCCAACAGGCTGTCTTCGTTGTATACTGAAGATCAGATGGCCGGAAAGAATCACCAACAAGAAACTATGAGAACAAACAAAACAAGAACCAATCGCCCAACAAGTATGCAGGAGAAAGTGGAGATGGATTGAACACTCGCTGAGGAGGCCGCTGGGTGACATCGCGCGTCAGGCCAGTGCTCGAGTGGAACCCGAAAGGGAAGTGGCGAGTGGGACGTCCAATGGTGACATGGAGGAGATCGTGTGAAGAAGAGTTGAAACAGTATGGACTGACATGGACACAGGTGAAAAGCTCAGCAGAAGACAGAAGCAAGTGGAGACGTGCAGTTGAAGCTCTATGTTCCACTAGGAACCCTAGGGAACAATAATAATAATAATAATAATTGGACTGAAATGTTCGGCCTCTGTTGTGATAACACATCTCGACTCACTTCTAGTACGGACGTTATCTAAGGATTAACTTGAAATAATTTGGGGGATGGTGATTAGAATATCAACAGACGTCGAACATTTCAGTTGAATCAATCAACGGGAAAATCAAATATCGATTGGAAAAGTAAATACCAGCTGATGCCTGTTGCATGAGAGAAGAGATTGGCTATTGTGTCCCAAATGGTGTCTAGTAGGGGGAGATAACTCTTTGGTGTTTGAAATGATGAATACACACTGGGTTCGAGTTTCAGTGGGAAAAAAACTATCACCCACTCACTCACTCATTGGGATTGCAGGTACATCCAACTGACGATGCGTCCCAAATAGGAGGAAATGCTCACTCATCCTGGTGAATTCCACTATTCCCTAGTTACATCGATCAGTTTGTTTTTATGGTTAAATTTAAAATTTATTCTTTTTCCATGATATTTTTTGTATTTAACCTTAATCTGTTTTTTTCTATTTTTTTAATTCTACTCTCCTAGGCGGATTCTTCATCTCAGAGAGTATTTTGTTTAGCTACATTAATTTGTCTACCTTATCGATTTTTATGGTGGTTAACTACGCATAATCCAGGATTCTCAGAGACATCGGATTCTACTTCTATTCTTACATCTACATCATTAACAAGATCCAATCATTATTCACAGGGTAAATCTGATAACGATCAGAGCAGTGATCATAGCAACAACAATAATAATAATAAAGAACAAAAATCTGGAATATCTCCACTGAATTGGATCCAGTTGTTGGCGAGTAAACATATGAATGCAAATAATGCAGATAATGGCGAGAAACAATTGCCTAATAAATTTATTCATGTCCTCCCTGAGCCTAGACGACGTCGACGGTTAGTTCAACAACAGTTGAAACGAATTATGAATGCTAGTCGGCGTGGTGGACAACACCACCACCAGCAACAACAACAAATGAATCATGTCGGCAACTGTTTGGCGAAAGCACTTATCCTACCGACAAGAGGATTAAGTAATGATGGCTTAGATCAATTGTGGGCTCATCCTAATCGTATACCCTTGGAGATTTATGCTGATTTTGAAACAACACAAGTAAGTTGATGTTTTGTCACTTATTCTTACTTTTTTTCACTGATTAAACTTGGTTTGGTAAAAGGTTGGGGGGGTGTGGGGCGTCATTCTTCGAAGACTTCTTACCTGTTGTTCTTATTGTCGCATCCATGATCTCCACCAGCAAACTGAACCAATGTTACAAAATGAGCTCGTGGATTTGAAGTCTTATTGGGAAGTCTTGTTACCAGCGGGGTCCACAAAGTTGGGTGGTAGGAGTTAGAACTAATGGGTTCCATTGGATTTGGTTTAGTGGTCAAATGGTGTCGTCTCATAACCTTAAAGTCTTCTGGGTTTGATCCCGACTGGGATGGATGCACACTGCTGAAGAGTTCCAAAGTAAGACTGACTGATTGGCTGGTTTCAACATAGAACAACTCTGCACAGATGTGCAGCAGTTCGAGTTGTCACTCTCTCTCTCTCTCTCCATGTACCACACAAAGCAAGAGAAGAGAATAGTGGGAGGTTCAAAAGACAGATAATAAACAGAAGTGTGAGTTATGGAAAAATAATTGAGTTTTATTGGATACGATAAATCGCAAAGAGTGAATGCATCTGCGTCAGCCATCACAGAAAGAGATTTTTAGTCATTTCACCGATAACTGTCTACAACCTTCATTGATTTTTACCAACCGGAGTACCCCAACGAAACTGACAGTATATACCTCCCCTCGTTGCTAGCTGGCTTAAACTAACTGTTATGGATTATATTGACTGATGAAGCCATGTTTTGGTTTGACCACCACTAGCTAACTCTTTTCCAACCTGACCCATACTATGTCAGCAGCTGACATTGCCCATCGGTTGAGGAAGGCGATGCCTAGACATGCAAGCGTAACACATGTCCTAACTATCTCAATCGGTGAACCTTCACAACGTCGTCGATTGATTTCCCCTCCCACTTACCCAGCACTTGACCGAAGCCTAACCTCATTATAACTCACCTTATTGTATCACCTCATCACACGGGAGATAGAACGCATCACCTAAAATCAAAGACAGCTAGCTGACCTTTCCATGTCTTCCACTTTCAATAACCATGTCTCACAGTCAGGCATAAAGTAGGACGGAGCAAACTGCTGAGCAGTACACACGCCCTTCGGTCGACAGCCAACCTGATTTTACGTCTACTGAGCCATAGATGGCGTCAGTTGACACATGCCAAACAAACCTTCGGTGGCACAGCGGTTAGGACGCTTGCCGACCATGCACACCGACTGACGCACACCTTTACCTCGCTAAGCCAGGAATAAAAAAGCTGGTAAAGAGGCAAGGTTGGGCATGAGGCTAACAACCCCATCCTGTAAAAATAATCACCTCTTCTGCAGAAACTTCAAGCCTCTAGCTTAAAGCCCTGTGTTCCACTGGGAACGTGAAGGAAATATATATATATAATATAAACAAACCTTCTTTATCCGTGTTGAGATTCCATCAGTGATCAACCCGTTGGCGTTGGTGGATGCAACTTCCCAAATAAGTGATTGAAGTGGTCAACACGCTCCACCAACCAATTCACTCCCTATCTATAAGCTAGTAGTGAGTCAATGTAGTCCAGTTCTATAGCATCATCTTACATTTGACAAAGGGAGCGAATTGCATACCAAACATTCGTAGATTGCTGCTCAGAGTGTTCAGAAGACTCTGCTTTTCATCAGCGTCTTCGTCTGGAACGACTATTTCATCTGCATATTCTACGTCAACGAGATTATACCCTGGTAACAGACAAGTCAATACCTGAGTCACTGAAGTGAGTTAGGGTTAAGTCGATTAGTACATCTATGATGAAATTAAACAGAAATGGGGACAGTGGGCATCCCTGTAGGACACCGCTTGTTGTCACCACTTTAGATCACACATCTCCGTAGACTCTCACCTGTCCGACTGCATGAGTTCAAATAGAGTGCCTTGATCAGTTTGATGTATTTTCTCGTCATTCCTTTTTACAGCCGAACATCGCCATAGTACCTCTTGGTCGACGAAATCGAATGCCGCTTTCAGGTCAAGAAATATAACGATTGTTGGTGGTCGATAAGTATTCCTATGTTCCAGAATCTGTCTGAAGTCTGCCTGGTTCTCTTGTGTTTGTTCCCCTGGAGCACCACTCAATCTACGCATGATTGATGAGTCTAGAACTTTAGATAGCATATCAGTGAAGCTAATCCCCCTGTGATTATCACAGGAAGACTTATCTCGCTTCTTGTACACCGGGATAATCAATAACTTACACCAGCCAAGCGGGACTACTTCTGGCGTAAGTAAGGTGTCCAAAGTAAGAGGAAACAGCTGTCGAGTACTCCCTGGTTCTCTAAGTAATATCAATCCGTAATCAATCTTTAAATTACGTGTAGTGGGATTGGAACCGCCCTAAAGTCATGCACCACTTGTCAGTAGATCTAATAAATTTCCTTCGCACGCAGGCCTAGGAAATTGTAGCGCACTTTTGGCTACAACGCTCTAGTTATTGGTCATTTGTGCGTTTAGTTAAGATGGAATGTTTTTTTTAGGAAGTCAATAATACAAAAGGACTATTTATAGTTTCAGCCCACGCTCACACACATACACACAGTAAAGCTTGAATAAGTTAATTTCTTTTACAAGACTTCAGTATCATAAAAATCCAAACGTCATGCTACCATGTGACTGATCAAAATACCTCTTTTTTCAAATTGAACCTGATAAAAAGATAATCTGAGGTACACCTTGAAAATATTATGCTGCTGAATAAATGAATGATTATCCCTGGGATTTTGTTTTGACAACAGACAGACATTTATTAAGATAAGACTAATACTGTAATTGTGGTGGACTGGATTATGTATGCGGAAGACTGTGCATAGGGAGGGAGTGAGAAGACAGGAATACGCTGCACTGACCGATCGGAAGACTCTAGAGGATGTGGATTTCGCGCGTGGGGATGATTTATGTTTAGTGTCACACATTCAGACTCGAAGACTTTTTTCTTTATTCCTTCACGTTCCCAGTGGAACATAGGGCACCTTCAAGCTATAGGCTTGAAGTTTCTGTAGCAGTGTTGTATATTTTTACAGGATGGGGTTGCTAGCCAGCCTCATGCCCAACCTTCCTTTTCTACCAATCTTATTACTGGCTTAGCGAAGTAAGGGAGTGCGTCTGTTGCCGGGAATTTTGACCCCGGACCATATGTTCGGCCGGCGAGCATTCTACCTTTGTGCCACCGACGCATGCACAGGCCAAAAACCAGCAAATTAGCAGAAGAGGTGGGCCCTGTTTGTTGAGCAGTTTGCATCCGTGACTCCACCTCCACAGATGGAACTAAAGACCTTCAGGTTAGTAGGTCAACTCGTTGACTGACCATTCAGGCTTACTATGCTCGAACAGTCGTTTATGATTTAACAACTTTGTTGACTTTAGAAAATAAAAGACAGATTCAGCGATGAAAATTTTCTTTATCGACGAAATCATCTTCACAGCCTGGCTGTACAGTCGTATTTATACTTACAAAAATATATAGCGGTCTATTATTGAGTAATAGGGGGTGATATTATTGATATGATTACTCAGAAGTGGCTTTAGAAGTGAAAATTAAAAGTTGTAAATTACGTGGTACTCAACGGAACAAAGATAGAAATTTGATAAGGTTAAAATTGCTATTGAGTCAGAGTAAAGGTATTTGAGTGTCAATTTAATAAGTGTGAAGAGGGTGTGAAAATATACCAAAGGAGCATATGAGAGTGATAATAGTGAATTAATTATTAACAAAAGCAAAAGCAAACTAAAAGTAAAATTAAAAACTAAAAAAAGAAAAGAAAAAAGTCAAAATGTTTTTACAGGGAACGATTAGTGAGAAGGTTAAGACCAAGGTAGAATAAGAGACTGGACAAACTTTTTCTGTATACAGAGTTCAGGGTTGTATTGATGAATTGCCAGCGCCTCCGCCTTACACAAAAGCTGATACCTGACGTCCTTCGTACCATTTGGCTTCACTTTGTAGATGATCTTGAAAGACGACTCCGGTGGAGCTACGTGGCCTGAGTTCACCAAATGCTCGAGAATTGAGCTAGTAATTGTCTTGCAATGTCCCTTTGCTAACCATGCCAGATAATGTTCAGAGATGCGTTTGGAAAGCGTGCGCTTTGTGCGGCTAATATGCACTTTACTTTATTAGATTAGACTATTTCACAAAATGTTTTATTCTACGTCTAATTTCTTTTACAGTTGGTATTGAAAAATTTACATCATATGTTAGCCTTATGGTTATATGGACAATCACTTGCCGGGACTTCAATTCAATCGTTTATTCAACCACCGATTATCTTTTATCCCCTACCTAATACCTCTGGACGTCCAGGCAATCTGTCTAACTTGGAGGCATCAAGAACAACAGCAACAGCAATGGCAACGACAACATCAGCAGCAGCGCCAGTAGCGGCACACAATCGACCATATTCACAGCCTAATTTTTATAATAATAATAATAATTATGATCAATTTGACTATTGGACATTTATGCCTAATCGTCAACATGATGCTTTTTTTAATTCACCACTTAGGCATAGTTTTCCTATGCCATTGTTACCTGGTGGTGGTGGTGCTGCTGTTGCTAGTGCTGGTGTTGGTGCTGGGAGTTCACCCTATTCATCAGCACCAATACTTCCACCGGATCGTTGTAATTATGTAAATTTTACAGCACAACCATACTATTATCCTCGATATCCTTGGATGAATTTACCTGGTATCCCATCTAATACTAATAATAGTAATAACAAGTACTCAGGACAGGCAACAGTATCAGATGGTAAGCTTAATTTATAAGTTGTGTTTATTATTATCATTATAACTGTTATTGTTATTTCAATTGCTAGGTTCTTGCCATGAACCAACAACCTCAATTAGTTAGATAGAGATAATTGAAAACCAATCAGGGAGAGAGAGCATTGGACAGTTATTTTATGAGTGCACATCCATGACTCCCTCTCCCCTCACTAGGGATCGAGCAGGGCGGGGCCTTCAGGTTTTGATATCCAGAGTCTTGAATTGAGTGACCGTAGAGTTCCAACGTGTTATATCAACTCGTGAGATACACAGTGCAGCCTTCATCAATATGGGCCCTTTGATGGGCGCGCATCCATTTTTACTATGAAAATGGGAGACTAAATTGGTCACAACTTCCCACTACAGCAGTAGTAGTAGCAGCAACTTCAGGAAATCTATCCACGAATGACCATCATCAGTGAGCTGGTGATTGTTATTATATTCAGATTATAGAATTTGTGAAGATTTTGGAATAATTTCTTCTTTGATTTTCCAGTCACATCCCTCTCTAACTGATGTTGGTTCGTGACGAAAATGGGACAAATGAAATTAATTCAAAATCCCCTACAAATCATCATCCTATAATCTGAATTGCTACTATTATAATCTCGATTTCATGGATTATCCCTACTAGTGAAAAAAAAATAAGACAAGTAATTAGATGGTTGAAGACAATCGGCCACAGGAAGCTTTGCCAGGACCTAGGTTTCATGTACTCAACAGCAAGGCGTATCTGCAACCTCTAAGGAACTCATGTCCCTTCTGAGATTCGAACCCTAGTCACCCAGTGAGTGAGTACTGCAGTCAAAGACGTTACCAATGAACTGGCTATTCAGCCTCGCGATTGACCTCCTGTAGGACTGTATTGTTTATTTTTGATTGGACACTAGTTACTGACTGCTGTCCAACCAAAAATAAGACAAGTAGTTTAGTGACAACGGAGAGGTTCTTCTTGGTGAATTTATTTTCCTGTTTTGCCGTACAATCTTTTCATAATAGAGGGTAGTAACAAAAGTGATGACTTGTCATAAGTATAGTTACACAATTGGTCACGAGCTGACATCATTTAGAGATTCATTGAAAACCACCTGGGAGTACTACTGGACAGCCAGTTGTTTCAACAACTAATGATTATCAGGTGTTGGTTTGCACCGATTTGATTGATGGTTACAAATTTGATCACGAGATGACATCAGTTAGAGAACCATCGGCAAACCAACATGGAGTATTGGACAACTGTTTCGTCCTAGCGACTACCCTATCATACAGGAAGTTACCTGTGGCGGTTGTGTTTAATATATATCAGGAATTGGCACAAGTTGAAATTCATAGACTGTCCATGGGGTCGGGGTTCCAGTGACTGAATAGTCGACAAGCATACCTCGCAACTGGGAGGTCCTGGCTTCGAACCCTGGAAGTGGGTGCGTACTGCCGATGATTCCCAAACTAGGATGAGACAGCTGTCCAGTACTCCCTGTGGCTGGTTTTCAATGGTTATCTAACTAATATCAATCCGTGGTCAACTCGTGAAAAAATTAACATTTAGTCAAACTTTGGATTTATCGAAAATAAAACTTATGCTCAAAAATTGGATAGAAAAAGACGAAGTGAACCTCGTGTTATGTAATGAATAATCCATTTTTGACAGGCGTAAACGTCATTATCATCTTGATTGGTGTTGTAGATACATAAATGTGTATTAATCACAAATTATTTTCCTTTTGTCTTTAAATTTTAGCTGCTACTACTGCAACTAGGGGTGGTGGTAGCATGCGTGTTGGCCCCCCAGCTTTATATGGCTATTGGCCACGTGGACGCTTCAATCATCCCCTAGAGGATAAGCATAATATTGTTGTTAATGGTGATTTATCTTCACAATCGACACGATTTCCATCACCTGGCACTTGTGGCGTTGGTGGTGGTGGTGGTGGTTATACAGCATTTCTTACTAACTTACATTTCCCACCAACAGCAGCCATGGCAGCAGCAACCGGTACAGGCGCCCGACCATCAGCTACACCTTTCAATCATATCCATACATCTGTTCATCCTGCACAAGTTCATGGTTATCATCGAGGTTCATCTGTTCCACCACAACCGAAATTTAGATTCCGTAATCCATGTAGCGGTGGAGGGGTAGGAGGAAGTGCTACAGAACCATTTATCCTAAAAAGTATGCCATTATTAGATACACCAAATCATCAAATGATCATGAATAATAATAACAATCATCGACCGTCGTCTTTTGTGCATCATTCAAAATCGTCAACAACGACAACAGCAACAACAACAACAAATCATGTAAAGAATCAGGGAACACGAACAAAACACAATTCACAAAGTTTAACTGAATCAGTAAGTTCTTTTCTTTTACTCACTGTGTGTGTTTCTTTTTCCATGTTCTCTAACTGATGCCAGTTCTCATAATAATCAGTTTTATACTTGGGTTTGTTGGAGATAAAATGTACTCCCTTGGGTTCTGAGTTGAACATGGGTGAGCTTCAACAATGCATCTCCATTCTGTTCCATTCTCTACTGTCCGTCCTCTTCACCTGGCTCACTCCGCGGTTACCCGTAATCTCTCATCTCCTCCCCCCCCCAACTCGTAAGATCTCCTCCATGTCACCCTCTCACTGAGAACTTACTCGTCGCTTCCCATTCGGTTTCCACTCAAGTGATGGCCTGTCGTGTGATGTCATTCGATGGCCTCCTCAGTGACATGTGCCCGATCAATCCATCTCCACTTTCTCCTACATATTTGTTGAGCGATTGGCTCTCGCCTGTTGGTTTGTTCTTTTTGCTAATTCTTTCTGGTCAGGAGGCTGGCTGACTGGCTATTTGATCTTCAGTATGGAGCCAGTGAATTTGGCACCAGTTGATAAAAGTCTGCAGTAGAGTAGCCTGTTGGAAATGTTCTTCGTGGCACGCTGGCCACGTTTCTGACCTATATAGAAGAACTGACTGACTTAACATTTGTGTTCAACAAAATTCGAATCTTGTTCTTAATGTTAGCTAAATTAGTGAAGAAGATTTCCCAACTGGTTTCACGTTGATGAAGGCGTATCTTGCCTTCCCGATCCTTTCTGGCCTGCTCTGACATTTTCATCGTTTCCCTCACCTGTAATTGAAACGATGCTTCCTAGACAGGTGAAGAAAGTAGTCGCTGTCAAATTTATTCTGTTGGTATTGATTGATACCGTTTGTTCTTGCTGTTGGTCGGTGGTTATCTTCATCATCTCCACCTTCTCTATGTTCACCTGCAGTCCTGTCTTCGCTGCTTGCCTGCCTCGCGTCTTCAGCCAGTTTGATGCTTTTTGCCCGACAACAAGTCTTCCAGTCTGCGTGTGTGTATGTGTCACATTGAATACAGATGATCCACGCGGAAAGTCCACATCTTCTAGAGTCTTACCGGTCAGTGCAATGTATTCGTGTCTTCTCATTCCCTGTGCCACAGTCTTCTATATAATGCAGTCCACCACTGTTAAAAATATCATCGGTGATAATAGACAGCGAGCTTGTCTCACTCCTGTCGTCTTCACTTCGAAAACCTCTCTGAGTTTCCTATTGTGAGTCACGTGACACGTGGTGGTTTGATGAAGATTTGGTGTGCCCCATTGTAGTTTCCAAATTAATTCTTAGTCAGCGCTGTCGGAGGTCTTTCCAAAGTCTGTGAAGTTGATTGATGTAGAGACTTGATTGCCATTCTATGCTTTGTTCTGTGATGACGACGAGTAGAGTTGGAATTCGCTCATCGCATGATTTGCCTTTCCTGAATCCACCTTGTTCCGGGGTGGCAGAGTTATGCATCTAGTGAATTTTTTTATTCTCTCTAGGATGATGCGAGTTAGTACTTTACCTGGCGTGGACAAGAGCATTATTCCACACCAGTCAGTTCTTACAGAGTGAGTGAGACATAAGTTGTCCTTCTTTGGCAGATTGACAAGGTAGCCAGCCTTTCTTTCAATCAGTCAGTAGGCACCTATCCCCCCTTCCAAACCTTTTGCAATTATGGCGGCAGCACATCTCCCGCAGTCTCTGGGCTCGTTTTCAGTGCTTCGGGGATGGGGATTTCATTTGGCCCTGTTGCCTTCCCGTCTGGACTTCAGTAGCTTGATCGCACTCAAGATTTCTGCTTTCTTTGGAGGACTGGTCTCCACTGACAGGCAGTTCTGTGCGTGCTGTGGGTGGTGGTGGTGATGGTATTTCTGAGCGAGTTGCAGGTGATGATCGATTCAAAAGTCTTTTGAAGTGAAGGGGTCTGATAGACATGACGCATTCATGGTAAGTGTTCTTATGATATGCTCTTATATAATAACTACCTCGTTAAGTCCCCCAGTGATATATATATTCATACTTATTTGGTTTTCTCTTTTTTCTTCTGTCTAGCGGAAGAAAAATGATGACTCGACAACCGTCAGCGGCAGTGGTGATGGCGGCAGCTAGAATTTGTTCAATTACTTATACATACATATATATCTTCAATTCTTGCTGCTTTTACTCTTTTTTTCCAATATGATACTCTCACTTTGCTCACTTCCCTACCTACTCACTCACTTGCTCGTAATGGCTATCATAATCGTGAATATAACGAAAAGAAGAAGAAGCTGTGTGAACAGTCAGTTAGTCGCTTGCGTAGTTGGTGTGTGTGTTTGTGTATGTTGATTTTCTCTGGAATCATGTCTGAAATTTGTTTCTTTAGCATCTCTTCAAGTCGCGTATGCCTCTCTCCTTCCCATTTTTTTTCTTATTCTTTCTTTGCCTTTTGTGTAAATCCTTTCCACTTCCCTCACTTACTTAGTGATCTCTCTCTCCTCCTCCTCTTGTCTTCTAATTTGCTCTGTTTCCTCCTTCATCCGCGGAAATCTACCTTAACTGTGAAGGCTTTCCTTCTGCCTCTTCTGCTTCCTCTTCTTATTCCTCAATGGAATCTTCTTCTCTTACCGTTCTCCTCCTCCGTCTGCGTTCTTTCTCTTCTTCCATCCTGATCATGGCTCACCTTTTATATATATGTGTGTGTTATTCTTCTATCGTTAGGTTTATTTCTCTTATCTCTCTCTCTCTCTAAATATACATTCATAAGGATCAACAGATGTGATTTACTTACCCTCCCCCCCCGCCGTCTTTTTTTGTCCTTTCCCGCTTAAAGTTTTCCTCCAAAAAACACTTAGGATTTATGTGTGTGTGAGAGAGCACAGTCGATGACGATTGATGGTCGTAATATATACACATATTATGATACCTGTTTATAACGCGTTTTTTAAATTCTCGAACAGGGAACAGATCTCGCTCCCTCCCTCCTTCTGTCTCTTTCTTGTAAACTACCATCATTGCTATTTATTATTATTATTATATGGCGTATTTATTGATAGAACTTTCCACTTTCTTCTCTATATACACTCTCTCTCTGTTATTGGCGCTGGCTTTAATCTTTTCTCCTCTGTGAGAGTATCCTTCTGCCTTCACTCTGTCTGTCCCTCTCTCTTTCTCTTTTCTTACATTTTCTTTTGTAGAGAAAAATAACCCCGCCCCCACCGCCCACACACATACACATATAAAGCTCAAATTACTACTTTTATTATTGCAACACTACTCAAAATCGAATCAATTGCTCACACACAATAAAAAGCAGCTACCACCTTTTTGTTTCTCTCTTTTTTTTACTTGCTTTATTACCCTATGAGTAGTAGTCTAGGATCGATGATTGGATGGGGGGATGGATAGATGAAGAGATGAGCGAGTGAGTGAATGCGTGGGTGGAACAGTCGGCTACGATGACAACGATGATGACCATCATTATTATTTGTGTACAATCATGTGTGTGTGTGTGTGTGCGTTGATCATAGTTATATTCGATTCAATCTGTGCCGTGCCGTGACGATCTTAATTTGATGATGATGATGATATTACTCCCTAATCTATCTATCTCCGTCTCTGTCTCTCTTCCATACACAAACAAACAAATACAAGTGGGACTTTTGTGTTGTTTATCGCCCCACCCCACTCTACACCACCACCACCCACGTTGCACAAAACACCACATTCACCTGTACATTTATTTGTGCCTTGTGATGAAATATACACATATTATGTAACCACCATTCACACACAATCATCCATGTATTGTCGAATAAAGTAATAAAAAAAAGAGTAAAAGAAGCGGTTGATACCTAGCTAGCGAACTAACTAACTGTGCTCGTGGGATGGAAGGAGAGGGGATGCAAATTACCACCGAATTTCGATCACTAACAAACAAAACACTCACTTACTTACTTGTTGAGTGAGTACACCGACTTTCTATTTAATAATTCCCTCTGTGTGTTTGTGTACGTGTGTAATTGCCTATGTGTATCTTTAGTTTCGTCTTATTATTATTTTTCTCTGTTTTTATTTCTTATTTGGCCCCAACCGCCCACCCGTAATCCTCTACTCTCTCTCTCCTAGCCCCTTCCCCCCCTCTCAAAATATGTAGAACTCTGTGCTGCACGATATGATTTTCTTTTCTAAAAAAAATAAATCAATACGAAAACAAACTGAAAAAAAAGATTGTTGGTTGATTTTTTTTTAAACTTTCTATAGTTTGGTTTGTAAGGGTTAGTTTTGTTTTTACGAGTTCATCACGGGTTGATATCAGTGAGAGAATCATTAGAAACCAGGGAGTACTGGACAGTTGTTTAATCCTAGTTAGGGAATCATCTACTGTACTCACCCACTGGGGTTCGGACCCAGGACCTTCTGGTTATAAGGCAAGCTCGCTAGTGACTTGCTACAGAATGGAGTTCTAGTGAGAAGTCGTGACCAGTGAGGTCCATCCAGTCAAGTGTGAGGATGGATGTCCCACCGACGACATTGGTTGTTTCCAGTCGCGCTAAATCACGAATTGGTAGAAGTTAGAATTCATGGGCTGGCCATTGAGAAATCGTGTCCCAGTGGTGGCTGAATGTTATACGAGCTTTTTTTAACGTTCAATTTGTGTGGATTGTCTACTGGGATCATCTCTGCCATTGTGTGATTTACCAGACAGTCATAATTGGTGTAGTCATGAGATAGTATAGAATAATTGTATCGGATAGGAAAAGACACAGGGATTCAATTATTAGTATTCACTGATGACGTTTCGAGCATAATTTCTTGGAAGAAAAGACGTTCAGTGAAGCATCTAGAGCAAATTATCTTGGCAACAAAAAACGAATATCTCCAAAGTCGTGTCATTAAAATTGTTAATTTATTTTAGAAAGTAAATCACGTAATAGAACAAAGTGTTAATCGACTAGACTTAATATAATTCACAGAATTGAACGAGAGTCAAGTTAACAACAGTGGTAATGAGACGTAGAAATTTAATAGTTTGGAGGGGGTAGGAGAAGAGAATATCATACAATTAAGGAACAAAATTACGCATCCGGTGTTAAGACAGAACAGGTCTATTGTAGCGAAAGAAACACCTCTTCAACCTAGTCTCGATATGACGAATTCACCCTATCATCTCATTATCTAATGGTCAGTATGTAACGAAAGAAGACAAGGGACAGGCAACAGATCGTTTTTATTGAGAAAATCAACAGATATTTATAGATTTTTATGTTCATTATTATTCGTTATTATTAGCAGAGAAACAGCGTCTTCTGATTGGTTGTTTTCTCGCTGGAAGTTAATTTGCCATCTCTTTGTGACCAGTTCTTTGAAGGTCAGACCATATATCTGCGAATCGTATCCGCCCACGCAGAGTCTGCTGTGATTGGTTGTTGAGTTAGTCTTTGTTCTTGTTTTTTTCTCATGACCAAGATATGGGACGTAAATTGCTGTCTACCAATTTTGGCTAGCAGACAGCTCTCACCACAACTAGACTTACTAGAACCAGTTAGGAGGCAAGTTTCCTGCTATTTACTCAGAGATTCCGTCAACTTTGTCAACACGATTGGAAACGTCAATGTTTCTAATTATAAACCGTGTTCTGCACCGAAGATAGGGCTAGACACATTACACTAGTGTCCAATCAATAATATCCAATACTGTCGTACAGGAGGTGAATCGCGAGCCCGAATAGCCAGCTCAGTGGTAACGTCTCTGACTGCAGTATTCACTCACTGGGTGACGGGGGTTCGAATCTCAGAAGGGACATGAGTTCCTTCAAGGTCGCAGATACGCCTTGCTGACTGGTGAGGGCCAAGTGGCACGAAACCTAGGTGCTGACAAGGCTTCCTGTGACCGATTGCCTCCAACCATCTAAAACCACGTTCTCACTAGATATGGTATTACTGTTTACGAATATCCCACTGACTGAAACAGTATGCTGTATATGCGGAAATATTATTTCAAAGGGGATAAACGTTGATATACCCACTGATTATTTGGAGGAACTGTTTTTCGGATACACTGTAAGTGCCAAATTCTCTTTCAATAATGGAATATTATCGACAAAAAGATGGTATAGCTATGGGCTCACTAGTCGCCCTGTTGCTTGCTTATTTCTTTATGTCAAAACTAGAAAACACACCTAAAGAAAATGATTGACAGCTTTAGGTTTTACATGAGATACGTTGACGATACTCTTATTGAAGATAATGAAGAGTTTCGATAAAGAAAGGAAAACGAAATTTGTAGTATAAAATGATATCATTCTATTTCACAGGTTCTCATCAGCTGCAGACTACAATGGTTATATAGATGATTCTGATTACATTAATTAGTCATCTAATTCAGTGATCTTTACTCACTGAACAAATCTTAATCTTATAAACTGTAACCTCTTTTGTTTTTTTGAGTTGCTATGTGAACCTACAAGCTAACACTGTTCTGTTAATTTTTTCTGTCTTACCCCTCTCTTGTACTTTGAAAGTGTATAAGTTGATGGTGAAAACCTAAGCTAAAAATTGTAATGCTTACATTTTGGATGCGTCAGTTTTATAGTATTTCTTCTCTACTACCACTCAAACATTAAAGTATGTTATTATCATCTATATAACCATTGTAATTTCAGGCAGGGGTGTGCAGCTGATGAGAACCTGTGAAATAGAATGATATCATTTTATACTAGAAATTTCGTCTTCCTTTCTTTATCGAAATTTATCAAGGGAACCAAATATAATGAAGAGTATTTGGAGGACATGTAGCGCCCCTGTATTAATTCCAACTATACGCTTATAAAACTAATTCATCTGTACGTTTACAGAAACTGATTTTAAATACGCATGTGGAATATTTGCCATTGTATTACTGAACATAGGTTTGTCGTTCTTTATGTATATATATATATATATATATATGGGCGTCGGTGGCACTGTAGTGGAATGCTCGTCAACCACGGGTCATGTGGTTCGAGGTTCGATCCCCGACCTACGCACTCCTTTACGTTGATAAGACCGGTAAAGAAGGAAGGTTGGGCATAAGGCTGGCTAGCAACCCCATCCCGTAAAAATAAATACCACTGCTACCGAGACTTCAAG